CATCCATCCATCCATCCATCCATCCATCCATCCATCCATCCATCCATTTTCTTCGGCTTATCCGGGGTTGGGTCGTGGGGGTAGCAGCTTAAGTAGGGATGCCCCTAATTCCTTCTCCCCAACCACTTAGGCCACCTCCTCTGGGGGAATCCCGCGGTGTTCCCAAGCCAGCTGAGAAACATAGTCCCTCCAGTGTGTCCTGGGTCTTCCTCTGGCTCTCCTCCCGGTGCGACGTGTTTGGAACACCTCACCAGGGAGGAGTCCAGAAGGCATACTAACCAGATGCCCGAGCCACCTCAACTGGCTCCTCTCAACGTGGAGAAGCAGCGGCTCTACTCTGAGTCCCTCCCGTATGACCGAGCTTCTCACCCTATCTCTAAGGGAGAGCCCAGACACCCTGCGCTGCGGAGAAAACTAATTTTGGCCGCTTGTATCCGTGATCTCGTTCTTTTGGTCACAACCCAAAGTTCATTACCATAGATGAGGGTAGGAACGTTGATCGACCAGTAAAATGAGAGCTTCGCCTTTTGACTCAGCTCTCTCTTCACCATGACAGACCTGTACAGCGCCTGCTTCACTGCAGATGCAGCACCTATCCGCCTATCAAACTCTCGCTCCATTTTTTCCTCATTCGTGAACAAGACCCCCGAGATACTTAAATTCCTCCACTTGGAGCCTTTTCCCCAACATGGAAAAGTCACTCTACCATTTTTCAGCTCAATCCATCCATGGATGGTTGGATGGATGGATGGATGGATGGATGGATGGATGGATGGATGGAAGGACTAAATCAAACTGTGCAAGTGTTTTTTTTTATTTTCAGAAAGTCACCACTGAACCAAAGTGTCTGAATGCAGGCAGATAGTGTATCACTAACTTCATCTCCAGAATCTCCTCCAGCTGTTTGCGTCTCTCCTGTTGCAGCTGGTTGAGGTGTCCATCTCGTTCATGCAGGCACTTCTGAGTAGAAGACAGGCGCACTTTAGTGGCATCTAGCTCCTGCCGTGTTTTTTCCAAAGCCCCCAGCAACTCTTCCAACTATTTAAAGAGTGGAAAAAGTTAAAACACGGTTATAACCTACTATGAAAACTATTCAGATCTGTGCTTAAAGGCACTAAATCTTTTATTTTATTGATAAATTCAGTAAGGACTGTTCAGCCCTCGATGAACACATATCCTAAAATACATTGCACTTTGCATGCTTGTGTGTGGGCTGTGCATTTTGAAACACAGTGGGTGTTGGAATGCTAAAGGTGAGATGAAATGGCAGCTTAAACATGAAAATCAATGGGCAGTTGACATCTTCAAGGAGGCTAAATTACTGGGGTTCATAGGTTAGTTGAACGGCATGTCCACTGACCCTTGTGCTGGAAACTAATTTTTCCTTTACTCTCCCACCTTTCACCACTTATTTTATCTTAATCTTGAGTGTGGTTCAGAGCTGGTGAAGATGATGCTTAAGCTCTCAAGTACACTTACACACATATGGCCACCACACATGCAGGGAGGCATGTCTGAGCTCAGTATTTGATAGACGTCGTGAGACTTCAGGGCATTTTCATTTTTCCAAGTGAAGGGACTAAATGCAGAACAAGTTCTTCACAGGAACATCCAGTGATGGGCAAGATGCTCAGATAATGATTGTTATTTTCTTTTAACAGGTACATGTATATTTTTGAACTGCTAATAGTGGAATTTAACATGACAATGAAACAAACAAAAACCACCATGTGGGGTTGGAAGTGGAAAAAAAAAGGATTGGGTCTCTTAAGAAAGGGCCAAATCATTCGCACATTTTCAGTATGTCCTCCAGGTTTCTAAGTGTGTTTCACAGATGCCTAATAATGTCCACACCGACCACTCATGAATATCACATATGGAACAAGATTTGAAAAAATAAAAATACAAAAGAAAATAAACCTAGTAAACATTAAAGCAAATCGGGGGGTGGGTAAGCTCATTTTCACTGGCAAGTGAAAACTTATTATCCCAACATTACAGCTAAAATAAATTGTTTTTCTACCAAAAGCATCAATCCTTTATAATAAATCTAAGAAACTGTTGAAAACCACAACAAGCTCTCTGATTTTTGATGCTACTCCAGGTTTTAGTGAAAGAAAAGCCATTATTTTAATCATATAAGTCAGTAGTCACACAGGCAACTCCATTTTACATTGACCGCATGTCAATCAAACCTCGACTAGTTCCTCATTAGTGCACCGTCGAGGGGAGCCCACACTTCACAACCACATCATTAATAAGGAATACAATGAATTTTAGTGAAATTAGGGAGTTTAATCAGCTTAGCAGTGAGCCTGTGCGTGCTAATTTAGCTCAACTTCAAGGGAAAGCTCCCCAGCCAGGCGGCTTGCTAAGGCCAACCCAAAAAACCCTTTGGTTGATAAGCTGATTGAGGGCTCAAAGGTAGGTGGGGGAGCGGGGCGGTGGGTAAATCCTTCTTGTCTATTTGAGTCAGACTTCTGGTTCAAAGGCCTAGTTCAAAAGTGGCACAGGGACAGAGCAAGAAGTGGAAAAGAAAAAAAAGAGGTGGAGTGTGGGGATAATTGCATGAGACGTGTTAAGAAGGCAGATGGGAAAGAACGTGGATGGACAGTTGAGTTTTTTTTATGAGAAAGACAGCGCCTGATAGAGGTAAAGACATAAGATACTTAGAGAATAGGGGTGTGAAGAGTAGTGACCCAGGGCATTACACATGCTTCATTTCAGCAGGATCAGGCTGATGGAAGACTTTCAGCCCATCATGAGACTGATTACTGTGAGATGGAGGGAAGAAGAAGAAAGAAAATCAAGCGAAGAGAGAGGGTATGTGAGAATGGGTGTTTGGCAGGGAACTCTGAAACTGTGCCAGGGTCAGGTGATCTTTTAGCTGGACATGTCCCCCTCTTTGATTCCTACATACTTCTCTTGTCTTTGAGGCAGTAGTATAAGTTAGTTGACAACTACTCAAGTTCTTTGCTTGTTAAGTACTTTCATATTGTATAAAAAAGTTAAATCTGGTCCTCTGGACGAGACGAGAGACGAAACGTTTCTACATTTTTTTGTTGATTTGCTTTGTTTTGTTTTTTTGAATGTCCAGAGGACCAGATTTAACTTTTTTATATTTTTCTACCTGGATTATTGAGCATGCATCAGGATACTTTCATATTGGTTTACAGAGGTCAGGGTGTTGGCAGCAAGCACACTGAACAGTTGGTGAGATGGGGACATCTTACTATGTCAGCTGGATACTTGGTTTAAGTTCACTTAATGTCAAGTTTAGCAGTCATTATGATTAAATGCTGAATAAAATGTAGGGCCTCTGACTTGAAATAAAAGCAAGCTGATTATGGCTTTGTGAGGTCACTGGGAGCCAATGTGTCACAAGTTATGTTCAGATCTCTCTGATTCATCTACGTGAGTTAACTTGGGTCAAAGCTGAATCATCCACTGCTTCACATGCAAAAAAACATCCCACAGACATTAATCTTCTTTTCTTTCTGACTTCTCCGTGGGCCCGAATATTGTTTGATAAACACAGTATCCATGCTGAATGTAAGTTGAGCGTGAAAATACGCAAAGAAGGAAAAAACAAGCCGCAGTTAGTGTTGGCTCTCACAAAACTTTCTAAACTGAGTTTGACCCTCTTTTGCTTGGCCCCTCTGTCTACCAGTCCCCTCCTTTCATCTTTTAAGCTCTGCTGGAGAGAGTGCGTTTAAAGCAATACAGCCGTGTTTCTACCTCAAAATGTTAGTTCTCGTTTTAACCACCGATAGATTCTCATGTTACTTGTGGCACTCATAAGTAATGCAAGGTCATTCTCATTCAAATGCACACTCACATCAGGAGGAAACATGCTCCCTTACCCTGTTTCTCTTTCCCACCGCAGACACACACCTACGCTCACGTACAAAAGCACACACATTCATTTTTTTTATATATTTTTTTGGATCCACATTAAGATGTAGACTGACGAGCTGGCAGTAAGAAAGATGGATAAATACATTGCAGAACGTGCACGGTGAAAGAGCAGGCTGCACTCAGACATGCCTGTGAGCCTGAGTTCTACTGCTTGAACATTGTTTAATCATATGCACCTGAACGTGTCAAATGTATGCTTACATTTTCAAGCATGTAAACTCAACAAATGGAAGCTGACTACTGGAATTTGACTACTTGCTTTAACGGGCTGCTGTTCATACGCCGTATTGTTTTACATTATTGGTGTTTAGCGTATATCTTAGCTCTTTTAGTGTACTGTTTGGCATTTGTTTAGCATATATCTTAGATCCTTGTATAGTGTTTCTTTTTATACTTTATATTTTTGCTATTTTGGGGTGAAACTGGGACCCTGAGTACATAATTTTGTTCCACCTCATATACTACATGTGATGTGAATGACAATAAACGTGAACTTGAACATTTTAGGCAAAACTGAGAGGAATATCAAGATCAGCTTTCAGAAAGTAAAATCCTAAATGTGTAGCGCATGTTTTATTTTCTAAAAATGAGCAACCCTCTCATAAACAAGTGTCCGAAGGTACACTTGTTACCACATGGTGGTGCAGTTCAGTTAATGACTTCGCTCAGATTTGTTTTGTTTTTTTTTCATCTTCAGTTGATTTTTTTTGGGGGGGGCCTTGGATGAACTGATTAGTTGAAAAGTTAGACCAAGCAGCCTGCGTGGAGTTGAGTGAGGCCTTCGGAGTGTATGAGTGTTTGCTTCTGATGGTTTGAGCTCTTCCTGAAATGTGAAACATCAGGTGAACCTGTCTCTGGGCCTGAACACGGGAGGCCTCCTCCTGCGCCCACAGAGCCTCCCTATGTGCTGAGGTGTTCATGCTTTCTCTCAGCGCCTTCTCCAGCTCCATAATCCGCTCTGCCGTCTCCCGCATAGCATCCTGGGAAGCGGGAAGAGGAAGCTAGATGGAGGAGAAGAATTCAAAAGAAGAAAAGATTTTATGGGGGGAGGAAAGCAACAAAAACCAAGAAGAGAGGAGATTTATTTTGAGTTTAGTTTATTTAAATTATTGTGAATCATTCTGAAATCAAACAGTACTGTGTCATTGGAGGAAAGAAGCTGTGGTGAGAGAAGCCAAGAGTTTTGTAAAAAGAAACGGACACAGAATGGGAGTGATACGTCACACAGACAGGGTTTGTAAGAGATGTGAATTCCTATACGGAGTAGAGTGAGTGCGTTCACATCAACAGTTTGTGTGTGGCCTTCCTGACACCTACAGTGAGAGAGAGAAAATGATCCGTCTCCTCACTGGTTGATGGAACTGTGAAGAAAAACACTGAACAGAAATAATAAACCTCCCTATTTTCTGTTTCCTCCTTTTTTTATTCTAAACGTGTTGACTTGCTTTCACGTTCACACATTCACACTTGATGAAGCAGCGCAAAAGGCTTTAGGCCATGTGGACAAATAAACATAAAAAATGCTCTAGAGACTGTCAAAGTAAAACTGACAAATAAGAATACAAAAAAAGACACTATTTTTCAACATTTTATCTACAAAAGAGTTGCCCAACATATTTTAAAAGCAAGTTGGAGACTTTTGACAGTGGCAAAGTTTTTTTCTGTATACATGACGTGTCCAAAAAATACTCATCGTGCTTTGAATAGACCCAGTTTTTAGTGTTGCAGAAAGCTGAGCACCACTCCAAACAGTACCATAGGTCAAACATGAGGATTCAATTGTGATGGATTTCCCAGATGTTGTTCAAGTCATTTCATGAGACAGCGCCAAAAACACACAAGACGACTATAAATCACTTTTCACTCATTTCTAACAAATACCAGAAAGAGCACAAACTTTTGAATTAGTGTAGCACCTCTATCAGCCCATTATTACAGACGGGAGAGTAATATCTCAAGGCCAGCTGAATTAAAAGTGAATACTTGTGGCTTGTCATGTCAGCACAACACAGCTGGAGGTAAGCGACAAACAGACGCACACGCCCACAGGAGCGTGCTGTGCATGTCATCGGTCCAAAACTGTGATTGGATGTGACAGACGGGCAGTAATTCGATGCACCAGGATCAACAAGTGCTGGTCTGACACTCGTGCACACACACCACACTGAGATGGGGGCTGCCCCTGTTGGACCCCCGAGGTGAACTGGAAAGCAGTGTGCATGGTGCGCGTGTGTGTAGGCCTTGTACACGTTGTGTGTGCATGTTTGTGTTGGTGCATAGGAAAAGAGAATTTTATTAGCAACAACAGAAAATGTCTGGCTTTTCAGAATACCAAAAAAAAAAAAAAAAAAAAGACAGGAGAAGTAGAGACAGAAAACAAGAAACAAAACTAGAGAAAATGAATTTCCTGCAAAAATGCTGTGTGAATGCTTATTGCAGAAAAACTTGATGAAAAAAGCTGAAATTAGCTAAAAAAAGAAACATGCTGAAATGTAACTGAAATGAAAGAGCATGCCTAAATTAGCAGAATAAAGCAGAAAGTAGAAATATTTGCTGAACTACTTTTAAATGAGCAAAAATGTGCACAAAAGTTTGGAAATCAGCTTAAAACTAAAATTGGCAACAAAAAAAACATCTAAAGTAGCCAAAAAGGCAGAAAGAAGCTTAACCTATAAGAAGGAAGTGGAAAGAGCTGAAATGATATAAAAAATGTGGAATTAGATGAAAAAGCTCAAATTTGCTTAAAAACAGCTAAATAGTAGCTGAAATAGCAGAAAAAGCTGAAAATGAAAAAGCTGAAAGGAGCAAAAAAACAGCTGAAAAGTAGCAACGAAAGCAGAAATAAGTTAAAGTTACAAGATGGATGTGGAAAGAGCAGGCTTTTGCTGAATTAGGCTTTAAAAACTTTAAATAAGTGCATAAAATGTGGAATTAGCTGAAAAAAATCATTAGCATAAAACAGCTATGTAATAGCATAAATAGTAGAAAAAAACTGAAACTTGCAGAAATAAGCTGAAAGGAGCATAACAAGCTGAAATTAGCAGAAAGAAGTGAGAAGAAGCACAAAAATGTTGAAAGGAGCAGTAAAACGTTGTAAACAGATCTAAAGATTTGAAAGTTATAAAATGAGCTCAGTTCATTTTCTGTGAGTAAAAAATACCAGAAAAGGCTAAATATTTCAAAAAACTCAAGTTGCACCAAAACCAAAATTACTAGCAGGATTGTTCTGAAACAGCTGAACGTTTTGATATAATATTTGCTGAAATAGCACAAATATTGTGGAACGAAAAACACACCGAAAAACATATGGAAGAAATAGGGATCACAAGACAAATGGATCACAATAGTGTGAATGCTTCATAAGCATTCAGACAATAATTGCTGCTGCGGCAACAATCATCACCTTTGGGAACTGTTACGACCCTATTGTCTAGATTAATCAAAATAAATAAAATCTTTCATATAAACCAATTAGTTAAAGAATGTACATCTCTAGTTGCTGTAAACTTTTGCATCCAATAAAAAGAAAGAACACAAAAAAAATTGTGCAGCATCAGTCTCTGTGTGTAAAACAGTCAGACCAGTTACATTTATAAAAATAAAAATAAAATAGTAATGAAAAATCCTACATGTCCATACTAGAAAGTTCCTGGAGAAATTTTGATGGGGCCTGCCATGTGGCGGCCATTTTCATTTTTTGATTTGACAGTACTATGTGTTAGGGATCGCTCTCAGCTACTAACATACCAAATTTTAACTCAATTTGACAATAAATCATGTAGTCATTTTCCCCTTAAGCTATGGTGGCCATCTTTGATTTTTGATTTGGATTTACTGTGATGTGAAACGTTCTCAGATATAACCTCACCAAATTTCATCTCTATATGTATGAAAATAGCTCAGCTAAAGTCATTTAAATGTAACTTTGGTGGCCATCTTGGATTTGTTTAATTGAATTCAGTATTTATTAAGCATTGCTCTCAGCTCCCACCACACCAATTTTCAGCTTAATATCTCTAAAGGTGGTTGAGTTATCATATGTTTCCCTTTGGTTAAGGTGGCCATCTTGGATTTTTGATTTGCATTAGTAATGTATAATAACTTGTTCTCAGCTACAACCATACTAAATTTCAGCTCAGTATCTCAAATAATGACAGAGTTATAGTCAATTGTCTATTTTCTGAGAAAAAAATGGTGTATTTGTTAGCAAATTACGTTGCCATGGTAACTCAAAACATCAATAAAAATAATAGCACACATCACGATGCCGAGCGGGTCGTTTTGATATAACGTTTGTGTGGAAGTACACGTTGTGGTTCGGGACATATTAAAGTTGATAGAAGAGCAAGACCCTTTTCAGGTGGATAATAATAGGGGGGCTGCCTTTCAAGGCAGTACGCATTTATTAAAGTTTATTTTTTTAGGAGTGCCTATAATCACTGATCTCTTGCTAGAAAGGATTACAGTGTTGCTAAAACTTTTCTGTTAAAGATACAAGATAAAAAAAAGTGTGTGTAAAGATTTGAAATTAAGACTTCCGATGCATTATTTTTTTCCTGTCTGTAAAGTGCAGCCTGGTGCAATGAAGACAATGGAGTGAAGAGATGCTATCACTCTGGCCCACGTAAACTGTCCTGGAATGATGGGAAGAGTTTGTTTGTGTGTGTTTACCCTTGGAGCGTGCTGTGTTCCTGATGGACCCAGCGATAAAAGCAGGGAGAAAGAGATCATGAAGTAAACAGAGGAAGAGGCCAGAACACAACTGTATTGTTGGAGCTAACACAACATCCAGAGTGCGAACTGTATAATTACAATTTCTCATAATTAGTGGACTGTTGCTGTTGCTATTATTTACTACAGGCCCTGTCACAATATAACGTTACAGAATTTATACTGACGTATGGAAAAACAAAGTAAAAAAGTTAAGTTAGGTGTACGTTTTGAACAAGTTTCAAACGTGCTAATATTCAATCAGTAGATTTGTCCATGCACAGAACTGTGTTGCTCAAAAGTTTGGCATAAGTTCCAGGTAAGCAACAGGTAAGCTTACTATCAATTTACACACATTACATGTAAGGTACTCATAATTTCACATGTCAGAAATAAGCTGGAATACAGGTACAAAACTCATTCATGTTTTCCTCCTCAAGCGCAGAGAAAACATTCCTTGTTTGCTTTTTCACTGAGGCTACAGGCAAAAGGAAGGGGCACAGCAGCTTAAGGGGGGGGGGGGGGGTCCCCACTTGACAAAACACGTAGTATGGCGGCCTTGACGAACAATGTACATCACTGACATACTTAATGACATACCGTATGGCATATGTGGTGTACACTGTTGTTCAAAATTCAACGGCTCTACGAAGCAAACAGATTGACAAGATCCGGCTCCCATCAAAGAGCAATATATCCCATCCTTAATATTGAGAATGACCCATTTAAACAAATTTGACAAATTTTCCATAATTAATTGAGGAAAATAATGCAATACTGGGAGTTAAAAAAGTATATGAACCTTTCTTACCAGACCTAAGCAATTTGCAAAACATTAAAAGCAATATGTAATAATTAAGGAACAATAAAAATAGTTATGTAATTGTTTAGATGATTTTTTTCACAACACTTGGAAAATGTTTGCTGTCAGTGCTAACGTTTTAAAAAGTGTGTGTAGAAAGTAATAGTGTCAGAGCCATTGAAATAATAATTTTTATTAAAAAGAACTTTGAGATTATATATATTTTCAAGTGGATTGACTTGTATGATAAAAGTAACTGTGTTGATGCATACTTTTACTTATATCACAACATTCTTCTTAGTAATTTACTCCCATTGTCCAAAAATTAAGATAAAATATTTGTTTATTTGGGCACTCCCATGTTGTATTTTTGGAACCAGAGTTTGCACTTGTAAATCTCAAAAGACTAATTGAAACATAAATTATTTTTAAGCATATACGAACATATTTCTTCTTCATCATCTTCTTCTTCTTTCAGCTTTTCCCTCGTCATGGGTCACCACAGTGAGTCATCCTCCTCCATCTGTCCTCTGCATCCTCTGTCCTCACTCCATCTACCTCCATGTCCTCTCTAACTGCATCCATATATCTCCTCTTTGTCTTTTTCCTGGCAGCTGCATTTCTAACATCCTTCTACCATTATAGCCACTGTCCCTCCTCTGGACATGTCCAAACCATCTCAGTCTGGCCTCTCTAACTTGATCTCCCAGTTGTTCAACCTGTGCTGTACCTCTGATGATCTCATTCCTAATCGTATCCATCCTTGTCACTTCTAAGGAGAACCTCACCATCTTCATTTCTGCTAGTTGCAGTTCTTTCTCCTTCTTTTTGTCCATGTCTCTGTCTCCAGACCATACAATATAGCTGGTCTCATCACTGTCTTGTAAACTTTTCCTTTGACCTTTGCCGACACCCTTTTGTTGCAAATCATTCCTGAAACTTTTCTCCATTCACTCCATCCTGCCTGGACTCTCTTTTTCACCTCTTTACCACACTCCCAATTTTCCTGGACAGATATACAGATAAGGATATATAAGGATATAAGAACATCCAACAATCAACAAAAATAGGCACCTGAAGAAACGTATCTGAAAGGTATTAATATTTCTTAACTAGCAAATGTCTAATTCATTCAAACTAGTTGGTGGGACTTACTGTATGTATTGCAGCCAGCCACTTGTCATTAGTGGTTTCAACTTCCAGATTCCAGTTCTGTGTCTACTTATAATACATGTCAATGGACTTTACAGGCAGAGATCAGACTTCTATGATGCATTATGGGTAGTAAAACCATCCTGCACCATTAGTAGAAAAATAGACCGAAACCACATTCAACCTCACCCATGGTCCACAAAAAGATTTTTCATTCTCCTCCTTTTTTAAGATACGGTTCTCATTTAAAGCCGAGTTCTACTTTGGTGTCATTATTGTCCCTCTTATTTTAACATGGCCATCCTTGTTCCATTTAAAATAAATGTGTCCTTTTTATTTTTTTGTACCGTAGTTCTCCCACCATGTTTTTTTTTTTTATATTAGCATTTGCAAAAATTTAGGAGCTTTTGAGTTGCCTAAAGGCTAGTGAGAATATATTTGTAAGGCCGTGAACAATAGAGATCTTAGTTTTTGCATGACTTTTATTTGTTGACTAAAACAAAGTGAAAATGGACTTGAACTTCCTCTGCTTGTACAGTTACGTTACGACAGGGCGTGGATTGGTGAGGTTCGAAGACATAGGCTTTGTAAGTTTTTCCTTTTAGACTGAGATTAGAAACAGTTTTTTGGACACCCACATTAGTTGGTATGCAGTTCATTATACACTTAAAAGTAGAACATATCAATCTTCTTGTAGAGTGCATACTCATGGCTGAATGTTATCCCATCAATTGAAAACATATGATTCTACATGAATACTTATCCTAGAGGTTTTCACATTTTTGCCATTAAAGAAGTGATATTGAATCTATGTTTTTGTTAACAGTGACAGCACCATAACTTGATTTTTCCAGTAAGAGACTAACAAATTTTTGATCACCATTTAGTCCTGTTTTACTTATAAATTATTAATGGTCATGTTTACATCAAAACTTGTCAGATTTCAATAGAATTATTCAATTCAATAGAATTGTATTGTAGACATGTTCAATCCTTGTGTTCAACAAAATATATATGAAAATAAAGATTCACTGTTCTGTTTTTTCCCACAATAACTTTCATACGTTTCAAAATCTTTGTCATAAAGGCTTTTCTTGGATATGCTGATGTTTTACAGTCTGAAATAGTGTAATTGTGAACTGATGATAGATAAGAAAGAAAGATCTTTACTATCAATAGCCAATTCCCCCAAAACAAATTTGTGTAAGAGAATAGTGGGTAAAAGGAAAGTTAAAGAGATTCTGTGTACTAACTCTCTGCTCTGATGTGGATTACTTTCTTGGATACAAATACACAGCCCTCCAGCAAAGACTAAAGGACATAATCAGTGATTTGATTCTTTAATGTGGACTGCAATAGATAAGGCGGCCTAATCAATCAAACAAACTGTTTCTGTGTATGATGGCTGATTGTGAATACCCAAGAACAAGAAACACTTTGAAGGGTTTGATATATTTAAAGTAATTAAATTCCAGCTTTGCTATTATTCGCTTGTGAACAGCTGCACTCTGTGCACAATCATTTCAGGTAAGGTTTATTTATTTATTTATGTTTTCTGCAGATTTCAGCTAGTGAGACTGATGACTTTTTAAGACCTTTTTAATGCCGCCTAAAATTTAACTGAAGACAAAAAAAAAACTAAATACAGGTGATGTTTGGGGATCCTGCTGTGTACAACCAGCATACCATGTTTCAGTCAATGAAACACATTCAAGGTTAGTTTTTGTCTGTTTATCAAACATAAGGTGACATCTGATAGTTGTATGTACAAGTGCAGCTTTTTGGTTGGGAACATCCAACAATATAAAGATATCTATTAAATACTATCATGCATCTTAATCTCTAATTTTGCCTTCATACACAAAGACTTCGTCCAGCTGTCAATAAATTTGCACTTACACGTGTTGATTTAGTTGCAGAGTTAGCAACCGTATATATCAACAGCTTGTAGAAAATAGCCTGAGTCACCTCGTCTGTTTGAACCACAGACTATATCAAATAAAACAAGTTCAGAATGTAAGGAAGACGTGCGTGACTCAATGTAAAACTTTTTCTCTCTGCTGCTCACATCCGACTCAACATGAACCAGACAGCAGGACCAGCCCCGCTGCGCTTGGGTAAAACTATGACTGTGGTTGTCTTGATTGTTTCATCATTAAACTGGATGGCTTGAACAAGACCACGACAAAACGTTTGTGTGCTCCTCTTTTTTACACATAATGGAAGTCTGTTGCAGCAACAAAGAACTTTAATCCCTCCTGCCAACAACTTTTAAGAACTTTGAGCAACATATTTAAAACAACTTACACATTTTAAAATGAATTTAAGACATTTTAAGACCTTAATGTAAGATATGTGAATGTTGACTAAGACTTTTTAAGGGTGTGCGGTCACCCTGTTTTTAAAGTTTGCTCACGTTACAGGCAGGGTTTAATTTGAGCCGGATACTGCCGGAGCATAATCCAGGAACTGGCTTATTTTGACAGGGTGCTTCTGGTAACTGTTTGCTAGAATCCGGCTTGGATCCGGTAACTCTCAAGCTTATTAATAAAAAAAGTTATGGACAAATATGACCCCTATGATGAGTAAAATAAATGGACTTGATGTTCCCTCGCCCAGACGTGGGTCACCGGGGTCCCACTCTGGAGCCAGGCCTGGAGGTGGGGCACGCAGGCGAGCTCGGCCGGGCACAGCCCGAAGAGGAGACATGGGTCCCCCTTCCCATGGGCTCACCACCTGTGGGAGGGGCCAAAGGGGTCGGATGCAGTGTGGTGGCCGAGGGCGGGGACCCTGGCGGTCTGATCCTCATGTGAGTTATGTGTTGAGGTGAAGAGTCTACAGCTTGGAGTATTGTCAGAGCGGAGACGCAAAAGACCCAGCAACCAAGAAATCCAGCAGAGTGGGTCATGGCAGGTTAATAACAATAAACTGTAATATGAGTTTGTATCTGCTCCAACACCACTATTTCCTTTGGTCAATATTTTTACAATATGCAGTATTCATAACTAATACAATCAATTTGGGCATATGTAAACTTTTGCACAGCTTTGTTTGCATACATTTTCTATTTCACTGACTTTGTTTTTTTATCCTTTATTTGGCAATAACTTGCTGTCTTTGACACTGTTGTGATGCAGAAACAGAATGTTAAATGCTGCCTGAAGGTCCGCACGGGAAAAAAAAACTAAATGACTAACTAAAATAGGCTCTCTATTTGGCAAAGAAGTACTACACAAAGGTCTACTTTATTGGTCCTGAGGAAATGACTTGGCATGACTTCACTCTTTATATCAACCTCTCAGTGTGGCTTTGCAAACTAATTTACAAGCATGCATGCAGGTGTGCAGGCGAAAAGAATAAACCAACTCAACAATCTTCAGGTATAAAGTATGCATACTTCAAGTACGTCAGAAATACTGACACTTCATCACTTCACTGCACCCATCTGAGATTTCCGTGTAAATTTCTGCAAGAGCTACCTGCTGAGATGAGATGAATTTAATAATGTGAATACAGCAATGTGTTCGGGAACAGAGGAAAGGGAAGATGTTTCTGAGGAAAGCCTTGTTCAAGAGGTGAAATACATAAAAAAAAGTACAACCAGCAGGTGTTACACTGTATGTAGGTAAATGATGGGCTGAAAATGTGATGGAAAGATTGATGTGATGTAAAGAATTGTACAAGTTTGAATAAACATATGGTAATCAAACCTGTGATAAAGAGTATGGATGTCCATCTGTCAAAGCATCCTTCCTCATCTCATTTGGCATAATCTGCTTCTGGATGTTTGGAGACTTGATTTGCCTTCAAACAGATAAAATAAATGACAACGGGTAAATAAAGAGTTAATAAATAAATCAAATCCATTTTTTTTTAATTCTTCAAAACAGAAATAGTATTTAACCCAATATGATAAAAAGGAAAGGAAGATAATGGATGGATGGATGATAATGCTGTTAAATCATGAAGAAGAAAGAGCATTTTTCATGTAACAGCAAAAGTGCCATTCTTCTTCAAACTGTGACAACATATTAAACACACATTTTAAAACTATATATTTTTTTAATTACAAACGAAAAGGATTCATCAGAGTTTGACGGTTCAAATTAGGAGGTGAATTCAAATACACATAAATTCCCCCCAAAAATTGGTATCACTGATAAGAAAACGTTTGACTATCTTGTAGTTTTGACATATCATTGTATTGTGGCCTACAAGAAGTGGTACAAAGAGTCATATGCATCCACTTTAAACCAACGTGTTTTTCTTTTAAGGTCACGTTAGCCACGGTTTCACTGTACAGTATAATTAAAGCGAGCCGCAGAGCAGACGTTAAGTCAGGTTAAGACAAAGGTTGAGTGTCGAGTCACAGTAACATGGCAGACTGGGACAAGACGAGACTTGACTAATAGAGGTGAGACACTGCTGTGTAAATCTTTCAGCAACAAAATAACACAAATATAGGGAGACAGAGATGCAAGCTTGTGCATGCACTCCAACACATGTACACACACACACAGGTTCACAAGAGAAATGAATGCTTTAAATCCCCATTGAGATACAAAGATGCATACAGACATGCAGATAGATAAAAAAAAAGCAGTTTTGCGTATTACGTAGACATGATTCAACCTTTTTTGTTGTTATATACCTGGATGACTGAGAAAACAAACTTTGTAGTTTTGCGTATTGTTTGGGTGCAGACTACTAAGCACTAATCTATACATATGGATGTAAGAAAACTGACAGTGACAAATTGGCACTTAAGAGAACCCTTAAACACCGTAAACAAGCTGTGACCGAGCAGCTGTTAAAATGTGCCGCATTATTATTCCACATCCACATCGGTGTGTTTACTCGGGGCAAAACCTACAAGCTGCCCCCACATGCGGGCAAATATTTGCTGTCACAGACCTGTGAGCGTGTCTCTGTGTCAGCTTTTATGACTGATGGTGTGCAGTTCAAGTGAATTACAGCAAACACTATGATGCATTTATTTAATGCTCTCGGCTTGCCACACGCACACTCTTTCAAAACATTGCAGGACATTTGTGTTATAAGAGAAGACAGTAGTTTACATTTCTGACAATATTTAAAGTTCACTTCACAAAACCACAGTTTTCTTGTCAGCCAATTTCATGTCACTGGTTAGTATCTTTATTCTATTTTTTATAACTCTAATGTTGATTTTATGAGCGTTGATTGCGACTTTTTTTATTATTACTTTATTTTACCAGGAAGAAATCCATCGAGATCATCGATCTATTTTACAAGGATGTCCTGGAAGAAGAAGACTTGGGTTTGAAATCACTGCACAAGTCCTCCTGTTACTAAGTGAATCTAATATTTAACCGTACTGTATGTTCATGAGAATACATGCACATCAAGGGCATCAATCTGATCTTTGATGCCACTTGTGTGTTTCTTTAAGCTCAGAGGCATGTCCGTGGAGAAGAAACTTGACATGAGGGCATATCAGCTATCACAAACATTGCTTCTACTGGCACAGGTGTAAAAACCAACAGGCCCGCTGGTCCCGTTTGATAGCTGATACACCCTCATAAAACCATAAGTACAAAATGATTTTAAGTGTTTTGGCCGGCTTGAAGGCAAATGGGGGCACTTAGAGTATGAAAGCAATGTAAACTGACTGGACTAGGTGTGAGGAAAAAGTCTGAGAGGAAATCTGTGATTTCTTGATTACTGAACTAAATTCTCCTGAGGAAATCATATTTTATTGCAGCGCCTCTTTGGACTAAGATAAGGTGAGAGCAAAGGAGTAACCTTTCAACCAGTTCCCTACATTGAGGTTAATACATAATTTTTAATGTTTCCCTTTACGTTTTTCCACATGGAGCACTTTGAAATTCCATCTTCCAGCATGAGCAGCTTAACCTTATTTCTTACAGCTTAAAAAAGGACGGCTCTCATTTCTTATTAGTCTGATTTATTCAGTTCTTTGTCATTTAATATATTTTACATGGTTATTTGGATATTGTCTTTCCTTTTTGTTTTTTATTTATGTCTTCACTTAGCAAACATATTTATTTAAAAAAAATAAAAATATTTAATGAATTGTAATAGGAACGAAGTCCATGCTCAATAATCCAGGTATAAAATCCAACTTTTTTCAGTCAGGTCATCTGGACAGTTTCTTTTTTTTGTGTGTGTGTTGAAACGTTTCGCCTTCGATCCAGAAGGCTTCATCAGTCAAGGAAACACACAACAAAACTGATTCTTCCCCCAACAGCTTACTCCAAAGTGGAACAAACCAGTTCTGCTTGTGATTAGATGGTCTCTTTGGTACGCACCTCCTCCATTGCCGGCCCTCTTCCTTGTTGGCAGTCTTGTCAAACTGGTTGAAAACAACAAAGTCCATGCTCAATAAACCATGTATACAATCCAACATTTTTCAGTCAGGTCATCTGGACAGTTTCTGGTTAGTTTCACTTTGGAGTAAGCTGTTGGAGGAAGAATCAGTTTTGTTGTGTGTTTCCTTGACTGATGAAGCCTTCCGGATAGAAGGCAAAACGTTTCAGCACAAAAAAAGAAACTGTCCAGATGACCTGACTGAAAAATGTTGGAATTGTAATAGGCTTTTTTCATCGTTGTCTATATATCAGAGGCAGCTTGTACAAAATGCAGTTGTCTATCTTTAAAGAGAACAAACATCTATATCTATTAGCTCTTAATTTGGTACAAGATTGCTGTAAAGATTGTATAGCTGACTTTTAGGCCTAACGACCTCTAACCTTCACTGTTTAATCAAAATTAAAAAAAAGTCATAAAACCCACAAAATGTACCTAAAACATTTTGTCTTCTTAGCAGAGTTGCATTCAGGCCTAAAAAGTCCAAGCCGACCCGAGCCCGTAGGTTATTTTCCCGAGCCCGACCTGATCATTTAACTGTAATTACAGGCTCAAACCTGGAAAAAAAAAAAGAGACTTTTTTTTAAATTAAACTTTTACTGCTTTTGTAAGCAAATCAGTTTTACATGATGTTTTAAAAACATATTTCGAATAAAGGACGATATAAGATTTCTTGTTTCACCAAATGGATATTAACATACAAAACGAATAGCCTAAAAATCAACTCTAAAGGAAGGCTATTATAAAGATGAATAAAAATATTTTTAGAGCAAAATTATTTGGAAAAATATAGAACAAACTGAACGCTTTACTCGCTTCAGCTTTTGTAGATGCTGCTACTTCCTTCACCGCAGATGACAGGAGGTGCGGAGACTCTGCCAGTGCCTCCTCAACAAGTAGATTAACACAATTTTAAACTGTGCATTCTTATTTTGTTTTATTTGTGCTGTATAATTTGTAAAACCACATCAAATGCCCGAGACCGACCCGGCCCGCCCATCCAGCACATTATTTTGGCCTGACCCGTCCTGAAATATGGGTGTAGGCTGGGCCGGGCTCAGGCCTGGGTTAGAAATGACAGCTCTACTTCTTAGTCAGCATTCTACAATTTATAAAATGCAACTATTTCTAATTAAAATTAATTCAACCTTTACTTATACAGGTTAGTCTCATTGAGCCTCAAAGACTCATTTACAAGTGAGACCTGATTTAAACAAAGAACATATAGTAACTTTGACCCAGTCCGTGTGCTTAGCATGTGGCTCTGTGATAGAAAAAGAATAGTACTGTTTCCTGTTGGCAGCTATAAGACAATTGGAAACAAACATAACCTCAGAATAAGAAAAATTTGAAACAACTAAGAGTTTTGCTATAAAATATTGCACATAAGCCTAATTTTATTCAGATGCATTTTGAATTGAAAGAGTTTATAAAGCAAAGTTATTATAAATGTATTAACAAGAACTGTTTTCCACTTCTGCAGCTGTGCATGCTGGTTGTTCCGTTAAAATGCAAACAAGCTGAACATATTTTAAATGGAATGCAGCCTTCATAAACACACTTATGCTTTCCTTATTATTTCAAGTCAAAACGTCTTCTGTGAAACAGAACTAACGTGTGCTTTTGAAAAAGTCTCCCAAACCTGGCAAACTAGAGGGTTCAGGATGTGCATGCCTGAGCATGCTATAATGGTTCCATGTCTGTAAGCTGTATGGCCAATTCTGCATATAAATAAAATAAATGGTTTCCAGAATATTTTAGGACTTGTGTTAATTGGATCCATGTTCACAGAACCATAAGCTTCCATGTGAGACATGCATTTAAACATAGCGACACCAAGCCTGAAGTGTGAAAGCAGTTTAGAAGTGACCCACTTCTTCTCTTTGGCATTCAATAAATCCTTCATAATAATAATAATAATAATAAAAATAATAATAATAATAATAATAATAATAATAAAGTGCTACGTGTTGTCATCATTGTATGTTCCCATAGAAAGATGAAATTGTCCCTCTTTACTGGGTGTTTCACTGCTTTTGTTTTTTTGTCTCAAATTTTCTTTAAAGTTCCATCATTTTGTGAGTGCTTTATATACTTTTTTTTTTTTTTTGATAAATGCATTCAACCTGTTCTCATCAACTGGTGTACCTTTGAGCAAGACACAGCAATGAACAGCACGGCTTCAGAGATGTTGCTGAAGTTCCCTACAGAAGAAAGCTGGGGTCATTTTCGGTACTTCATAAAATCTAAACATGGGAAGCTGTGAATATTAGGCAGAATCTTGCTCCAAGGAGAATTTAGTCTCAGTTGATTTTCCCCAGTTTAAAAAGATTAAAAAGAGCAATAATCTTTTTAAAAAAAAGAAGATCAGATTAATATCTTTTGTATAATTCTGTCTCATCTTCTTTGTTTTTAATAAACAGCAGAGTGGAACTTAATCTACTGATTTCAAGCAGACTGTTACTTATTAGGGCAGTTATTACAACAAAAAGATTTAAAGTATAATAACAAACAGGCAGATATGATCTGAGGTCACTTTAAACACATTTTCTTAGAAAGTCTTAAAAAGCACATTTGATATCTGCCTGGAAATTCTTCACAGATAAAATGTTATATCTTTAATAATTATTTTAGCCTATATAAAATATAGATATTCAGTGTAGTTTTTTTCTGATTTTTTTACTAACTTATCCTATTTCCTGTAAAATATTTGGAGTGGAGCATTTTTTTTTTCTTCTTCTTACGGCTGCTCCCTTCTTCAGGGGTCGCCACAGAGAACTACATCGCACAAAGATTTGGTGATTGTTTTTATGCCGGATGTCTTTCCTGACACAACCACAGACCACTGAGCTACCACAGCCCTCTGTGTGGAGCAGAGAGCTGACATCTAGGGTGCCCGGAGGAGCAGGTGGGGGGGTTTAAGGGCCTTGCTCAAGGGTCCAGAGTGGGGAAAATGAGGGTGGAGGTAGGTGTGGGTGTTTCACCCCCCACCCACATTTTGATGTTATCAGTATGGGGAGTTGAACCGTTGATCATCTGATCAGAGGTCCACCTTCTCTGACATCTGCACCGCCACTCCCACTGAGCATACGGCGCCTGGTATTCCAAGGTGGTCTCCCATCCAAGTACTAACCAGGCCCGACCCTGCTTAGCTTCCAAGATCAGATGAGATCCGGCGTGTTCAGGGTGGCATGGGAACTTTAATTCATGAAAATATAGTTAACCAATAAGATAGTTGGTTAGGACTTCACCATCTGTAGAGAAGGCTGAGCTCATTCAAGTCCTTGCGGGTTAAGTTTGTTTAATAACTGACAGGAACATTAATCAATCATAGTGCTGATGCAGTGTAAGTGGAACCAGAGCAGTGACCTTTGAACTTTCAAAAAGGCACTGAAAAACCTTTTTTGTGTTTGTGATACATTCAATTGCATCTCGTAAATTTAAAAATCCACATTAAAAAGACAATTGTTCTGTCCATCCATCCATTATCTCTACCTGCTTCTTCTTTTTCGGGTAGCGGTGGTCACTGGTCATGTCGCAAGTCCATCACAGACACATAGAGGCAAACAAGACAACCATTCAGTCTCTCACTCACACCTAGAGACAATTTAAAGTTTCCAATCAGCCTAACATGCATGTTTTTGGTGTGTGGGAGGAAACTGGAGTACCCAGAGACAACTCACACATGCACAGAGAGAACATGCAAACTCCACCCAGAAAAGTCCTTGGCCAATGTTCGACCTGGTGACGTTCTCACTGAGAGGCAACAGCTCTTCCAACTGAGCCACTGTGTCACCCAATAGAAAAGTTAAATAAAGCTTAAACATCCCATGTAGATTTACATTAATAATTTTCAATATAACATTTGTATTTTGATTTTATGATGGGCTTTCTGGGTCATTGGGACATAAATGAATGGACTTTTTTGAGGCATGTGTCCATATGGGCTGTCCCTGTTGGTTTGTCTGTTCAGTGATGGGTTGGCATTTATGTTCAGGTTGTTGTTAATGACTGCAAAATAAATGACACCATAAGTCAGATGTCATACTCAATGCAAAAATGGTGGGAAGCACTTTGTGTTCAGCAAGTTCCTGTATTGTGAAACCAAAAGTGCTATGAACAAACTGCAACTCTGCAATGCCTTTGGAGATTCACACCTGAATTATTGAGCTTGGACTTTGGTGTTTTGAACCAGTTTGACATGACTGTCGACGAGGGAGAGGGCAGGCACCGGAGGAGAGGGCGTGCTCCAGAGGCCATCTTAGCACCAACATAACAGGTTTTTTTTTCCCCATTGGAGTAAGCTGTTGGGGGGGAATCAGTTTCGTTTGGTGTTTCCTCAGACTGATGAAGCCTTCCGGATGGAGGGCAAAACCTCTCAGAAAAAATAAAAAATAAAAAAATAAACCATCCTGATGACCTGACTGAACATTTTTTGGATTTTATACCTGGATTATTGAGCATGGACTTTGGTGCCTTTGGAGAAGCTTGTTACAATATTGCTTCGTAACTGAAGTTATTAGCTATTAGATGTACAGCTCACCATTGATTTCAACAGTTGATCTGAATAAACCATTCTACAATATAATTAGTGTTTTACAAAGATGGAGCACATCAGAGGCAATGAGGGGTGTGTTGCCAAGGGACATTTTAACACACAACTCCATACTGCAAGGAATCAAACCTCCAACTTTCTCATTAGGTGCCGACTGCCCTAACTAAGCACCAGCTGCTCAGTCAAGCGAGTGTTCATTTAGTGTTTGATTATGGTTTTAGAATGAAAAAAAAAAGCCAAACGCTTTATGTGTGTGTTTGTGTGTTTAAAATTTTAATTTGTATTTGAAAGTTACCAACCGTTCATTCCTTCCTCCTAAGTGATCCTTTCCAAGTTCATTTCCAACAAATACACCCCTCAGTCCCAACACCAGCACACATACATACATTTATGCTGTACAAAATATATTCACACTCCTGCACCTCCCTTTTCCTGGAATCCTCCCTTACATTCCAGAGTGCTTACCTTGTGGGGTAGCTGTGGTAGTGTGAGACTGGAATTTTGATTTATTTGTCAAAGTCTAGCCCCTTCACTATATCATGGGGACTAAACTTTTTCAAGTATGAAACTGTAAAGCTCTTTAGAAAAAAAAAAAAAAAAGACAACTATTGAAAACAATCATTTGAGTTCATATGCTCCAAAAAGAAAAGAATGGAAAAACAAAACTACATTCACAGAGAAGTGTTTCCATTTTATGTTAGCACAACCTTTGTCACTGTATATTTATCCGATGTTTTTTTTTTTTTTTACTTCAGATTCTTCAACAGGATATTTTCTCATTTTGCCAATGTAAAGTTAAAATACCATCAAATCTTCTTCAGTCCACTAAAGTTGGACCTCCTCATACATCATCGCAGGAAACATCTTCTTTTCTTTTTCTAATTAAGTCATTTACATCTAAACAAGCACTCAATCACTGTGATATCCGAGCTCTTAAAAAGTTATACAAGAGTTTTCTTTTGGCAGGATTGTATTTATTACAATGACCTGCTCGCTACATTCATCTTTGCTACGTTGACAACTGGATGAGAAAGTGTCCTGTTGCTCATCTGTTTCGCTCTCCCTCTATTCAAATAGCGGTTAATAGGTCAGCTGAGTGAGATCCAACAGAAACACTCCGATTAAAAAGACATTCATTCCATGCTCAGACACGCTGCATATCGCATTCTTTGACACAGATGTCAGTTCAGCACACACACACACACACACAGACAAACTCCATCCACATGCTGTCATTTAACAAACACTGACAGCTCCTTGTGCAAAAACTCTTATATTCAGTTAATGTTGTCTAATCATAAAATGTGCTAGCACTGGTGAATGTAACTGACAAAATATTTAGTTTACGTGTGTAGCTGCAGTGTATGATTACAGTGGATTATTATTTGATAACTTGTGGCTGGCTTGCCTGTGACCTTTGACCTGTGTGTGGGCTGCAGAGGGGAAGGGTTGAGTTGATAGCAGAAACTGGTTGACGCTAATGAGACAGCAGCCCCAAGAAGATGGACGAACTGCGGGGAAAAATAATCCTTCCAACTATTGCGAGCACTCCTATGACTCTGCTCACAAATGCACAGAAACTAAACTGTGTAGTTTGCAGCAGATGCATAAAAAAAGCACATGCGTGTATTCCGATTCAATAATGAATGCACACACTCAGAAAGGAAGGACTGGATGTACTATCCCAGCTGGAGCTACTGTATTCTTAGCCTAACTAATGTCAGAGTTTTCACAGAGTTTGAATCAGCATTTGGTTGCAGTGCCAGGGCAGAGTCTGTAAAATGGATAATGAACGAGGCAGGAAACTGCTGGACCTAGTACACAAAACCCATTCAGGTTGACTGCTATTTGTTCACAACCATAGTTAGTGATAACACATCTGGATGTGCGGAAATATATATACATATATATAAATACAACTGAAAGTGTTTCAAGTTTACATAGATTCCCAGTACCTCTTTCTTATTTTCAACCTTTATATTTGTTGTTTTTTCACAGACAGAACTTTGCTTTGGCACTGAACAACCGCTCATTTGGATCATACACATGTATACACACCATGCCAATTCATAAATCATATCATAATTGAGTAGCACTCTGCCAGTAATAAACAGAGTAGTATAAACAGCCAGTGTCTGGGCTGGATACACCACCTCCCACTGGCATGCCGCTGGCTGTCTGCCGCCTGGTAAAAACACACACACACACATAAACATGCATGCATGCATGCACGCACACATGCACTGAAAGTATTTATAGTAATGTAAAGAAAAAAAATTCTCATCATTTGAGTTATTTCTCTACTATCATCACTGCTGATAGCAGAGAAATGTGAACTTTTGCAAAAGTCAACCCAAAGACAAGTGATATCTTTACAGTGTTATTAATGAGACAAAATAAAACCTCAGAATGGGTTTTGGTGTCACTGAAATGAACCCTGGGATTGTTTGGTTTCAATGGGCTGTACCATATGAGTGGAATAGTCAAATCTGAGCTCTGAGAATCATGAAAACTCGTATTTCAAACAGTACATTTAACTTTAGTTAGCCACAAGCCAACAGACACAGTATGATTTCACAAGTAAATAATATTATACGTTTACAGGCACACAACACATTTACTTACCCAGGTCTGCAGACACACAAACACATAAAATTCATCGATTAAAATGTCAAACGTAAATAGGTCCAGAACATTTCCTAACTGCAAAAGGCGAAGAAGCTTGAGTCAGTTGAAGTTATTTCAAGTAGTCCGAGTACACAACCTAGACAGTTTATGTCTCATAGATTACTTCTTCATAAATAGTGTGCTTTTTAATAAACTGAGTTCTGGTCATTTGGAAGGACACAGATGGTGAACTGAGAATAAACATAAATGTCCCTGACTTTTTTTGAACCTCACCTCTCATAATCAACTGTTTTCCTTTCCTTGCATGATTTGTCCGTTTCAGCATCTTTCAGAGCGCACTTTAGCCTCTCGACCTCAGCTTGGGACTTCCGAGACTCCTCTCTGTAGCGGGACACTTCCTGCTCCAGAAGCCGCAGACGATCTGTAATGTCTGGACACATCCTGACAGCATCCTCTGTCCTTTGGGTCTTCAGATGTGTGTGTGTGTGTGAGTTTGGTGGGGGGAGGGGATTTGATATGAGATATGAATGAAAAGAAAAACAAGTGAAAGCAATTAAATTTAATACTTGTATGGTATGCAAGCATTTACAGAAATTTGTGAAACACTGTTTTAGATGTTGACGTGTTTGTATTATTTTGCAGTCATTGATATTAATACACAGTGTGTATACTAACTATCCACTGTATTACATAAGCAGTACACATATCTAGTATTATTAATATAAAATGTCAGGTAAGGTGTTGTTTGTGAGTGTTCCTTCCTTTTCAAGTGTGTTTGCAGAATATAAGTGAGTTAAAGTTAGTAAATAATGAAAAGCTTAAAAGAAAAACAATTTATCATTAAGTTTGACTGTTTGATCTCTTCTTCAGACATTTAAATGATTATTCCAACAAAATCAATTTAACGTAATAAATGATGGGAAAGTATGTTTTAAAACCCATGAAAAGTGTGGCTTCCTCCTGCAGCATGTTAGATCTATGGTATAAAGTTTATTCATTTTAAAAAAGTACAAAACAATTCCATAACAATATAAAAAAAGATACAAAAGATTTAAAATGAAAGGCAGCAGAAAGAAGAAAAAATCTTATTATATCTGCCCCTTTTTTCAAACAATTATTTCAATCATAATAATTTTCAAGTAACAGAACAAAATGAATCTCTTTCTGATTTTTCTAATTCTAATACAAAACACACACTAAGCTGCATCATATATACTTTTTTAACAATTCAGCTTTGATCTTTTTCTTAAATGTACACATTGACTTGGCATTTTTAACATCACTCTCTAGACCATTCCACAATCCAACTCCTTGGATTGAGGTAGACCTTCCCTTCAGACTAGTTCTGAATTTTGGTTTGACAAATATCTCTATCCCCTTAAGATTATAACAACTTTGTCTTTTAACAAAATTTCTTTGGATATTTAATGGTAATGTGTTATTTTGAGCCCTATACATAACTGATAAAATACTATAATGATCTCTGTTCTGCATCGGAGAAGTGGGCGTGGCCGACAGCGCTAGCAGGTGGCAGAGAGCTGAGTTCATGCCATGCTGTGCACTTTTAGAGCATTTAAAGTTTAGAAACATTGTTTATAATATTGCAAGAGTGTGGGAAGTGTTTAAAACACACACATGTAAGTATGTACGTCCGGATGGACACACACACACACACACACACACACACACACACACACACACACACACACACACACACACACACACACACACACACACACACACACACACACACACACACACACACACACACACACACACACACACACACAGAGACACACACACACA